TCGGGTGGCATCCCAATTAGAATTGAAATGAAAATAAGAATACGAATACGAATAAGGAAAAGCTAAGAAAAGCTAGGGAAAAGCTGAGAAAAGCTGAGGAAAGCAAAGAAAAGCTGAGGAAAGCTAAGGAAAAACTAAGAAAAGCTAAGAAAAAACTGAGAAAGCTCAGGAGAAGAGCAAGAAAAGCTGAGAAAAGCAAAGAAAAGCTAAGGACAAGATGAGGAAAAGCTAAAGAAAACTAATGAAAAGCTAAGGAAAACTATGGAAAAGCTGAGGAGAAGCTAAGGGAAACTAAGGAAAACTTAAGAAAAGCTTAGGAAAACTTAGGAAAAGCTGAGGAAAAGCTAAGGGAAACTATGGAAAAGCTAAAGAAAAGCTAAGGAAAAGCGAAGGAAAACTAAAGAAAACCAAGGAAAAGCTGAGGAAAACTAAAGAAAAGTTTAGGAAAAGCTAAGGACAACTAAGGAAAAGCTAAGGGAAACTAAGGAAAAGCTGAGGAAAAGCTGAGAAAAGCTAAGGAAAACTATGGAAAAGCTGAGGAAAACTAAGGAAAAACTAATGAAAAAGCTAAGGAAAAGTAAGCAAAAACTAAGGAAAAGCTAAAGAAAACTAAGGAAAACTTAAGAAAAGCTAAGGAAAACTAGCGAAAAGTTGAGGACACCTAAGGAAATGCTGAAAGAAAACTAAGGAAAACTAAAGGAAAGCTAAGGAAAACTAAGGAAGCTCAGGAAAACTATAGAAAAGCTCAAGAAAACTGAAGAAAAGTTCAAGGACACTAAGGAAAAGCTGAAGGAAACTAAGGAAAACTAAGGAAAAGCTAAAGAAAACTGAGGAAAAGCTGAGGAAAACTAAAGAGAAACAATATTTAGCCCCCCCCCCCCTGTTGCGTCCACGCAGAAATTGCGCCCCAGCCCCTCCCCCCAGTCGCCCGCCCGAGCGCGGTGGCGGAATCGCGCGGCAGCGCCACTGAATGCGATGCACCGAAAGAGAGCAAGGCGATGTGTTTCTGAGCGACGCCTGCGCACGGCGCCTGATCTCTTAAAGCGTCAGCGAGCGCTGAAAGCCCTGGCGTCGACGTGACGCCCCGGCGCTGAAAGCCCCGGCGCTGAAGGGGGCGGTCTCGATCAAAAACGCGAGCACTGAAAGCCCCCTGCAAAAATTGGAGCCGCGCTGAGAAGGGGGCGGTCTGAAGGCGCTGAGGCGCTGAATCTCTGAACTGCGGCCTGAAGATTGCTCAAAGAAACTCAGCACAACATCTGCCTGACAGGCTAAGCTCGCCCTCCCCTCCCTGCCGTCCCCTCCCCCAAAGAAAAATAAAGAAAAACTCAGGAATGGTAAGGAAAAACTGAGAAAAGCTAAGGAAAAGCTGAGGAAAAGCTAAGAAAAGCTCAGGAAAAGCTTAGAAAAGCCAAGGAAAAGCTAAGAAAAAGCTAAAGAAAAGCTAAGGAAACGCTAAGGAAAAGCAGAGAAAAGCTAAGGAAAAGCTGAGAAAGAGCTAAGGAAAAGCTTAGAAAAGCTGAGGAAAAGCTGAGAAAAGCTAAGGAAAAGCTGAGAAAAGCTAAGGAACAGCTAAGAAAAGCTGAGGAAAAGCTGAGAAAAGCTAAGGAAAAGCTATGAAAAGCTGAGGACAGCTAAGGAAAAGCTGAGAAAGGCTTGGGAAAAGCTAAGGAAAAGCTAAGAAAAGCTCAGGAAAAGTTAAGAAAAGCTTAGGAAAAGCTAAGGAAAAGCAAAGAAAAGGCTAAGAAAAAGCAAGGAAGAGCTGAATAAAGCTAAGGAAAAGCTAAGAAAAAGCTAAAGAAAAGCTAACGAAAAGCTAAGGAAAAGCTAAGAAAAGCTGAGGAAAAGCTGAGAAAAGCAATGAAAAACTTAGAAAAGCTAAGGAAAAGCTGAGAAAAGCTAAGGAAAAGCTGAGAAAAGCTGAGGACAGCTAAGGAAAAGCTAAGAAAAGCTAAGGAAACGCTGAGAAAAGCTGAGAAAAGCTGAGGAAAAGCTGAGAAAAGCTAAGACAAACAATGGAGACCTAAAGAAAACCAAGGGAAGGCACTCCCCTTCCCTCTGACAGCGCCAGACGCGGCCTCTTAGGAACGCTCACCTGCACATGCCCCTGAGCACGCTCATCGTGCTCATCCTCCACCACGCAGGTGGCCTGCCGTGCCTGATGCAGTGCCTCAGGGCGTGGGGGTAGCTGCACGCGACGCAGCCTGAGGTCAGGAGGGGGACGAGGAGGAAGAGCAGGAGGAGGACGAGGAGGAGGACGAGGAGCACCAGCCTGAAGTCCATTCGCACTTGGCACACACCTGCACGGTCTGAATCATCTTCACGTGGCTGACGTATGCACAACACTCGTCACTGTTCACGTTCGTAAACTGAGCCTGATGGAAAGCTGCCTCAAGGACTGGCTCGGAAAGGCCTCTCAACCATGCCTCAAAGCCCTTCTCGCCCTTCTGCTTCTGACCTAGCGCTGCGAGAGCCTCCTGCGCCTGCTTCTCAGCCTCCTCCTTCTGCGCCTTCTTCTGTGCCTCCACCTTCTCCTCCTCTGCGCCCTTATTCGGTTCTGCGGGCTCCTTCTGCGCCTCAACCTGCGGCTCCTTATGCGCCTGCACCTTCTCCTCCTCTGCGCCCTTCTTCGGTGCTGCGGCCTCCTTCTGAGCCTCATCGCCCTGCTTCAGCGCCTCCTTTCCCTTATCCGCGGCCTTCTTCTGAGCCTTCTCCTCGGCGGCCTCAGCCTCTGCCTCCAGGAGTTTCTTCACCGTGGCCTTAACTTGGTCATTCAATACCTGAGTCGCCTCCTGCTGCAACCTCCTCCTCACTTCCTTCGGGTCCTCAGGGATGGCATCTGGTAGCGTATTGCACCAGTTGCTGACCAAGGCTGCTTCCTCAGCTCTTCTCCTCAGCTCCTCTGCCTCCCTCTGCTCGGTTTGCTTCCGATCTGTTTTGGCCTGAAGGTGCTGCTGCGCAGCCTTGACCTTCGCCTCCTCAAAGAGCGTTTCCTGAAGCCAGGCTTGCCGCGCCTTCTCCAGCTGCTTCGCGGCGCTCACGCACTTATTGATGACAGCCTTCTTCCTGTCCTTAGGCGTCGTGACTGGAGCTCCCCCCTCACCTGCCAGTCTCCTGACCTCCACCTCGATGTAATGCATGACCCAATAGCCGCAGTCGGTACCTGATTGCCTGAAGATCTGGTGCCTGGCGAGCGCAGTCACTAGCATCTGCTGGCTGAGGTCTGGCACGACTGCCTTCAAGATCTGATCAGCTCTGTCCAGACACACCTCATTGATCTCCTTCATTGTCTCGTAATACCTGATGCGCGGCTCTGCTAGACTGATGCCCTCGTTCCTCGTCTCAACGACAAGGAGGGTCCAGTGTCCCACCTTGTGCTTCCCAGCGCCCTCAGGACACTGAAGAGGGAAGAATACCTTATCGTATCGATTGAGAACTCTCCTCATTGCCTCTTCCATGGCTTTCTGACACACCTCGTCCTGATCCCTGAGTGCCGAGAAATACATGCTATCAGGTGACCAGGTGAAGAAGTTGGCCTGAGGGAAGGTGTGCTCCAGGAGAACTGACCATAACTGAATGGTCCCTCCTTCCAAGAGTGCGGCATCCTTCTTTACTTCCACTGGGGGTGCTGAGTCCGCGCTCACCATGCCGAGTCTGCCAAGCATCTGATATTTCATCTTCTTGCTCACGTGCTCGAACGTGAGAAGTGCTTTCGGCGTAGGCAACGTCTCATTCACCTCAATGACCGCGCTGATTGGGACGCGCCTGTTATTCATCTGATCGTCCAAGATGCTGATCTCCTGATCCTCCTTGTGAGCGTACATGCAGTGGCCCACTTTCCCGAAGAGAGCCTCACCGCCGGCGTACTCACGATCAACCCTGCACACTTTCTTCAGGTACTGATCCTCATGGAATCGAGGTACCCCGAACAAAGCAGTGACCCTCGCAGACTACCCCTAAGGCCTGAATGTGGAGGAAGTCCAAGGCGGGAGCCTTGTCTGTGAGCGCGTCCTCCTCCGTGTCCTCCTCCTCCTCCTCTTCCTCTTCCTCCTCCCCCTCCTCATCCTTCTCTTCCTCCAGCCCCGATTTTTCCAATGAGATTTCTATTGCAACCCCTATGGAAAAATTATTTTTTTCGGCCGTCGTAGGAGGTGGCCCATCCCAGGATATCGCCCCGCCCCGCACCGAGGCGTTATCTTAGCACCCGGCAGGACCAAAATAAATCCCCGAGCCCGAGCCAGAAAGCTGAGGGAAAGCTAAGGGAAAGCTAAGGAAAAGCTAAAGAAAAGCTGAGAATAGCTAAGGAACAGCTAAGGAAAAGCTGAGAAAAGCTAAGGAAAAGCAAAGAAAAGCTAAGGAAAAGCTGAGGAAAAGCAACAGAAAAGCTGAGACAAGCTAGGGGGTAGCAACGAAAAGCTAAGGAAAAGCTAAGGAAAAGCTGTGGAAAAGCTAAAGAAAAGCTGAGAATACCTAAGGAACAGCTAAGGACAAGTTGAGAAAAGCTAAGGGGAAGCTGAGAAAAGCTTAGGAAAAGCTGAGGAAAAGCTGAAGGAAAGCTAAAGAAAAGCTGAGAAAAGCTAAGGAAAAGCTCAAGAAAAGCTAAGGAAAAGCTGAGAAAAGCTGAGAAAAGCAAAGGAAAAGCTGAGAAAGGCTTGGGGGAAGCTGAGACAAGCTCAGGTAAAGCTGAGAAAAGCTAAGAATAGCTAAGGAAAAGCTAAGGAAAAGCTATGGAAAAGCTAGGAAAAGCTGAGAAAAGCTCAGGAAAAGCTAAGAAAGCTATGGAACAGCTGAGAAAGGCTGAGGAAAAGCTGAGAAAAGCTAAGGAAAAGCTTAGAAAAGCTAAGGACAAGCTACGGAAAAGCTAAGGACAAGCTACGGAAAAGCTAAGAAAAGCTGGGAAAAGCTCAGGAAAAGCTGAGAACCCTGTTGAGAAAGCTCAAATTAATGACAAAAGAATACGAAACCTGGAGGGCGCCACTACTTCTTTCTGAGTACCTCGACTCCTGCCAGGCCTGCTCCAAGCTCTGCTGCTTGAGCGCCTCCTCGTCCTCTGCGGCCTTGGCCTTAGCTTCCGCCTTCTCCCTGTCCTTCTGCCGCTTTTTCGCCAGACCCTGAAGCACTTTCTGTTTCTTAACCTGTGACTTTAAGAGCTTATTCTTCTTGACCTTCTTGTTACCAACCTTAGGCACCACGGACATGCTGCACGCCTGCCCCGCGGAGTAGCCCTCAGACCTCAACTTCCTGACTGCCGTGAGGACACCTGTCCTCGACGCAGCCCTGGCCTCAGCCCTTTCCTTCCGTCCCTTCTGCCTCTTCTGCCTCCTGACCGGGTCGGGCTTCTGACTTGTGAGGTGCTGATCGATCCCTAAGTGTTTCCTCCTCTGCGCTGGTGTCCTGAGCAGCGCCTTTGCTTCCTCTATGCCCTCGATGCCCTCGACGTCGTTCACCTCCATGGACAACCATGCCTGCTGGCTGAGATCCTTCAACGCAGCCTCCGAGAGCTCTCCTGATGCCTGCATGTCCTGCCACGTCGCCAGAACACTGAGGTCTCCTGGGGCCCCGTGGACGCCGGCCTCGCCTTCCTGGACCTTGTCCTGCTCGCTGAGGGCAGGCACGTCCTTAGGCATCCCCTGATCATCGAGGTTGTCGAACCGTTTCTGAACCCAGCCGCCGCGCAGGCGGTGCTGTCCGATCTTAAGATCGCTGTCCTGAAACCACTTCTCCTCGTTGGCCCTGACGAAAGCTTTCTGGCTGGGCTTCGGCCTGAGCACCGTCCACCCATTCCTGACGCAAGCCTTCTTGAGCGTGCTGTCCGCCTTAAAGTCTGCGATCAGGTCCTCCAAAGCTGAAGCTAAGGTCCTGAGGACCTCATACGTCCCGCATTTGAAAATGGCTCTGGTGCTCTCCGACTCCGCTAGCCGCTGTAGCTCTTTCCTGAGCTCCTGCTGCCTTCTCCTCACCTTGGCCTTCAGCCTGAAGGCCACGTCGGTGTCCGTCACCTGCACGGCCGCGGTCATCTTACCTCTGATGAACACAGGTAGCTGACCCAAAGCGGCTGAGGTGTTCAGAGAAGACTCTGACAGGGCGCCCGCGAACATGTCTCTGAGACCGATGCTGCAGCTGGCGGCCTGAGATTGTTTCTCAAGTTTCCAGCACGTAATCACTGAGTCCTCGAACCCTGCTGGCTGCTGATATATCTCAACGTCCAGGTCTGCGAGGCGTTGAAACAGGGCCTTGTTCTCTGACCTGACGGACCTTGTCCGCTCCTGCAAGGGCAGAGCGGAGCGGGAGCAGCACGAGAGTGAAGAAAATATAAAGGAAAGCTCAAAAAAACTGAGGAAAAGCTGAGGAAAAGCTAAAGAAAAGCTGAGGAAAAGCTAAGGAACAGCTGAGAAAAGCTTAGGAAAAGCTGAGAAAAGCTCAGGAAAAGCTAAGGAACAGCTAGGAAAAGCAAAGGAAAAGCCAAGGGAAAGCTAAGAAAAGCGCAGGGAAAGCTAAGAAAAGCTGTGGAAAAGCTGAGAAAAGCCAAGGAAAAGCTGAGAAAAGCTAAGGAAAAGCTGAAAAAAAGCTAAGGGAAGGCTAAGGACAAGCTCAGAAAAAAAGCTCAGGAAAAGCTGAGAAAAGCCAAGGGAAAGCTAAGGGAAAGCTAAGGAACAACTGAGAAAAGCTAAGGAAAAGCTGAGAAAAGTTAAAAATGCTAAGGAAAATTTGCGAAAAGGTAAAGAAAAGCTGAAAAAAGCAAAGGAAAGGCTAAGGAAAAGCTCAGGAACAGCTAAGGAAAAGCTGAGAAAAGCTAACGAAAAGCTAATGAAAAGCTGAGAAAAGCTAAGGAAAAGCTGAGAAAAGCTAAGGAAAGCTAAGGAAAAGCTAAAGAAAAACTGAGAAAAGCTAAGGAAAAGCTGAGAAAAAATCAGGAAAAGCTGAGAAAAGCAAATGGAAAGCTAAGGAAAAGCTAAGGAACAACTGAGAAAAGCTAAGGAAAAGCTGAGAAAAGTTTAAAACATGCTAAGGAAAATTTGTGAAAAAGCTAAGGAAAAGCTGAGAAATGCTTAGGACAAGCTGAGGAAAATGTGAGAAAAGCTGAAGAAAAGCTACGAGAAGGAGAAAAACGATTTCAGAAAATAAGCCCCTCGCACTGCTCCCGCTCGTGCCCTGCGATTGCGGGTTCAAACAGGTCCGTCGCCTCAGCGATCTCAATGACTTAGCGAAAGCCTCAGGCACCATGTTGCCTGCCAGCCTGACGACCTCCTTACCGTCGACGTGAAAGCGCTCAGTCTTAATCCACCTCCCGTCTTCTGAAATGTTTGAGAGCCTGCAGTGAGCGCCGGTGAACACCACTGAGGTTGTTCCCCACTGGAAGTGCGGGTCTGACGTGTCTGAACACCATCCATAGACTCTCTGTTCCAGATCAACAGTGATTCTGAATTTATCCTGATCAGCAGAGTTTTCCCCTCTGAGCTGAGTCATCCCCTGTGCGTCGTCCTCCTCATCGCTGTTGATGATCTGATCCTTGGGAGCCTGGACTGAAGTCTGCTTGGGGCCTTTGCGGTCCTGAACCTCCCCCTCAGCGTAGAGCTGCTTCCCTGGGCTGATTTTTAGCCACATCGGCACCTGATCGGACATGAAGATCACCAAATTCTGGATGTTGTCTCTGAATCCCTTAGCGTCAGCGACCATGTCTGAGAGGTCCTCCACGGAGTCGAAGCAGGCAAGCCTGACAGCCTGGTCGAAGCTGCACCATCCCTGAAGGGCGCGCTTCTCCTCCTCCTCCAAAGAAATGCTCAGGAGGCGCTGAGGCTTGTACAACCTGATGCCGTACGTTTCCTTAATGAAATCAGTTGTGTACTCAGCCATCTTCTCACTCTTCTGAATGGCCTTCTCACGCTTCTCAATCTCCTCAAGGAGGGCCCTCTGACGACTCGGCAACCAACCTTCTGGGTTCCTCTGAGCTTCGAGACGCGTCTTCATCTGATCGGCCTGGTAGCAGTACTCTAAGTACAAGTCACCTTCATCGACATACTGACCTCCCTTACGCCAGCTCAAGAACGTCTTATGCACCTCATCAAACACTGGCATGAGGAGGCTCCGCTTACCGGGCCCTTTCTTCTCAGCTGACCCACTTACGTGGCGCTCAATGGCCCTGACACCTTTGCCTGCCTGTCCTGACAGGCCCTGCTTCTTCTTCCGGCGGCTGAAGATGCCGCCTGACCTGCCCAGGCGTAGCTTCTTAATGGCTTTCTCCACCTTATCTTTCTGCTCATAGATCCTCACGAGCTGCCTCGTCTTGACGCCTTTCCCGAAGAGGGGCCTGATCTTCTTCCACTGGTCCTCAGTTGGCTCAGGAGCCTTTTCGCCTGACCCCTTCGCGAAGCCTACAGCGATGAGCTGGTCCTCAATGTACTGAGCGGCCTTCTTCTTGTGACCAAGCATAGGGATCTTCTTATGGTCTTCTGGACTGAGGACCAGGCGGACTGAAGAGGGGAGCTCAAGGGCCTCGAAGTCCTTCTCCTTAGGAGGCCTGCCACCGCACCGTCCGTACATGGCGCCCAGCTGACCCGCTGACTTGCCCTTAAGTCCGTTCCTGCGAGCCTCCTCTAGCCTTTCGCCCTCGCCCTGCAGGCGTCCAGCGGCTGATCCTGAGTGACCGAACCCTCCTGAGTTGTCCAAGGCCCCTGTCCTGCCGAGCTCTCCGAAGTCCTTGCCCTGAGCGCCTGAATCGCCTCCGAGGTGGCCGTACTCGCCCCAGAGGCGTGAGGCCTGAGGCCGAGGACCAAGGAGCAAGCCCCTGAGCCTCGAGAGTTCCTGCTCCTGCTCCTGCTGTGCAGCCTCTCGTGCCTGAGCTGCCTCGGCCTCCGTGCCTGTCCCCTGGAGCCGCGCGACCTCAGCCGTGACCTGTGCCAACTGAGCTGACATTGAGCTGATCTTCCCTTCCAGAACACGCTTCTGGAGGCTGTCTGTCCTCCTCGCCCTGCTCGGCCTGAGAGCCTCGGCGGCGGCCTCCCTGGCAGCTGGGTCTGCGGGCGCCGCGGGCGGCCTGCTCCTTCTCCTGGCCCTGCGCGGCGCAGCCTGCGTTTGCTCCTGAGCTGGAAGTCCCGCTGGAGCTGCCGAAGCCGCTGACGAAGCAGTTGCTGCTGAGTCGGGTGGGTGCGGCGGCTCTGAGTCCTGCTGAGTCGTCCGCACCTTCGGGGGACGACCTGGTCCACGCTTCGGCCTGGGCTCTTCCTTAGGCCTGAGTATGGCTCCTGGTCGCAAGAAGCGCTCCATGACTTCAGAAGAGTCAGGCCCTCCTGAGCCAGGATGGCTACGGAGGAGGATGGGGAGGGAGAAGAGGCGGGGCTGGACGCGCACGCTACTCCACTGAGCAGCCCGACAGGGGCTGAGATCGCGCTGGATACACGCGTGGAGGAACCTCTCCTGGGGCGCCGTCGTCTGAAGGCCGAGCACTGGAAAGACGCTGGACCACTGAAGCTCTCACCCGGGCCATCCGTCTCACGAGGGTCTCACGAGTGTGTCACGCGGGTCTCCTGATTCGTATTCTTATTCTTTTCTTTTTATAAGATTCTTCAGCATCCTTGTCCTATGCGATTCTTAGTACAACCCCTATTGAAAAAATGCTTTTCCCGGCCGTCGTAGGGGGTGGTCCATCCCAGGGCATCGCCCCCTCCGCACCGTGGCGTTATCTTAGCACCCGCACCGTCAAATTTATTCCGTCCTCCGCAGGCACGGCCGCTCTTATGGAGGAAGTTTCAGGCGGGAGCCTTGTCTGTGAGTGAACTGTGAGGAAGTCTCAGGCGGGAGCCCCTCCCCATGGGGCCCGCACTTCAGTTGGTAGTTAGTCCGAGGCGGGTCATCGGAGTACTGCAGCAGGCATAGCACTTGAGCACTCCTGACGCCTGAATATGGAGGAAGTCTCAGGCGGGAGCCTTGTCTGTGAGTGAATTGTGAGGAAGTCATGATGAGGGTGACGGCGAAGAGGATTCGTATTCTTATTCTTTCCTGTTTATAATATTCTTCATTATCCTTGTCCTATACGATTCTGATTACAACCCCTATTGGAAAACATATTTTTCCCGGCCGTCGTTGGGGGCGGTCCATCCCAGGGTATCGCCCCCGCCGCACCGTGGCGTTATCTTAGCACCCGCACCGTCAAATTTATTCTGTCATCCGCAGGCACGGCCGTTCTTTGGGAGGAAGTCTCAGGCGGGAGCCGTGTGTGTGAGTGAACTGTGAGGAAGTCTCATGCGGGAGCCCCTCCCTATGGGGCCCGCACTTCATGGTGGTAGTTAATCCGAGGCTGGTCATCGGAGTATTCTAGCAGGCATAGCACTTGAATACTCCTGACGCATGAATTGGGAGGAAGTCTCAAGCGGGAGCCTTGTCTGACGCGCTGATTGTCTGAGGACTAATTGAGAAAACAAAGGAAAAGCTAAGAAAAGCTAAGGCAAAGCTGAGACAAAGCTTAGAAAAGCTATGGAAGAGCTGAGAAAAGCTAAGGAAAAGTTGAGCAAAGCTAAGGCAAAGCTGAGAAAAGCTAAGGAAAAGCTAAAGAAAAGCTGAGGAAAAGCTGGGAAAAGCTAAGGAAAAGCTGGGAAAAGCTAAGGAAACTAAGGAAAAAGCTCAAGAAAAGCTGAGAAAAGCTAAAGAAACGCTAAGGAAAAGGTGAGAAAAGCTAAGGGAAAGCAGAGAAAAGCTAAGGAAAAGCTGAAAAAAAAGCTGAAGAAAAGCTAAGGAAAAGGTGAAAAAAGCTGCAGAAAAAAACATAGAAAAGCCAAGAAAAACTTGAGCAAAGCTGAGGAAAAGCTAAGAAAAGCTAAGGAAAAGCTACGGACAAGCTAAGGAAAAGCTGAGAAAAGCAAAGGAAAAGCTCTGAGAAAAGCTAAGGAATAGCTGAGAAAAGCTAAGGAAAAGCTAAGGAAAATATGAGAAAAGCTAAGGAAAAGCAAAGAGAAAGTAAGGAAAAGCTGAGAACAGCTAAGGAAAAGCTGAAAAAAAAAGCAAAGGAAAAGCTGAGAAATGTAAGGAAAAGCTGAGGAAAAGCTCAGGGAAATCTGAAAAAAAAGCTAAGGAAAAGCTCAGAAAAGCTCAGGAAAAGCTGAGAAAACGTGACGCCTGAATATGGAGGAAGTCTTAGGCGAGAGCTTTGTTTGTGAATGAATTGTGAGGAAGTGATGATGACGGTGATGGTAATGACGATGACGCTGATGACTTGTGAATGAATTGTGAGGAAGTGATGATGACGGTGATGGTAATGACGATGACGCTGATGACTCTGACGCTGAGTAGCGCTGAGAGAGTCCTGAAACCGTATACAATTCCTGAAGCGGCCAAAACGTATACAATCCCTGAAGCGGCCAAAACGCGCTGAGAGAGTCTCTGAAGCCTGAAGCGGCCTGACAGGCTGAACTGACCGCAAAACTGACAGCCTGACGGACTCACAGGCCTGACAGACTGAGCTCGACTTCCCTCCTCCTTTCCCCAACCCCCATCCCGCTGACGAGCTCCTGAGCTGTCTCATGAGGGCTCAAGCCCTGAGTCATGAGGGCTCAGAGGAGGCCCCTGAAAGGCGCGGCGCCGGAAGGCCCGAGGCGGCTGAACAGCTGGCTCATCGCGGTTGGCTTGCGAAGCTGTCCCTGTGGCTGATCCCGGGGCGGCTCATCGTAGCTGCCGTTGCGGGAGTCCTCACTCTCCTGAGTCGTTTCCTGAGCCCCACTCCCTGTGCTCTGCGCAGGGCGTTTCTTGACTGACGCGGCCTCTTTGCTGATCTCCGCGGCAGGCCTCTTCCTCGGTGCTGTCTTGGCTGCAGGGCGTTTCTTGACTGACGCGGCCTCGTCCTCACTTGGGTATTTGTAGCGCCTGAGCTCCTCTTCCGTCATGGCGTCGAAGCCCTGAGGAACTCCGTGCCCGAAATAATCTGAAGACTCCGGAAACTCCTGCGGACATGGCGGGACTGAAGACATTGCGGAACTGAAGCTTGCGTGAGAAGCTGAACACTCTCGAGCTCTTCTGAACCAAAACGCCTACTGAAGCTCCCTGAAGCCCTTTAGGGTGCCTCGTGGATGCCTCCTGGACCGTCTTGGACTCTTATTGGGCCCTCTTATTGGGCTCTCTTATTCTTATTCTTTTTCTTGTGGTTATGCTTGCCCATTATTCGAGGAAGTCTCAGGCGGGAGCCCCTCCCTGTGGAGCCCGCACTTCATCGGAGTACTGTAGCAGGCATAGCACTTGAGCACTCCACTGAGCAGCCAGACACGCGCTGAGAGCGCGCTGGATACACGCGTGGAGGAACCTCTCCTGGGGCGCCGTCGTCTGAAGGCCGAGCACTGGAAAGACGCTGGACCACTGAAGCTCTCACCCGGACCATCCGTCTCACGAGGGTCTCACGAAGGACACTGACTCCTCCTCCGCGTCCTAACGAAGAGCCTTTGTGAAGAGAGGAACATATAATGAATGATGGATGCTGAAAAGTTTGTGAGCTCAGCAATTCGGTTGAAAACTGCACGATAAGCTGAAAACTGAATAGCGCCTCAAAGCGGACGCCTCAACGCCGCGGCTTGTCTGGGAAACATTCTGAGCACAACTCCCGCCTCATCACATGCTTCGAGGCTGACTTCAGCCTAGGGCAATTGGCTGAAGCGTGAACCATCGTGCGCTCACCGGTCGTGTGGAAGAGAGCCTCGACGTGACGTCCAAACTGATTCCTGAGCACTGCCCGTGGAGGATCGCTGACCGCCTCGTCCTTCTCCTCTGCCTGGACTTTCGAGGGGGGTGCTGACGACGCAACCCTGACCCGCGCGCGGCAGCGCCACCCTGCGACGAAGCCGAAGACGGCGCAGGAAGCTGACCAAATCACAAAGAAGCTGAGGATATCTTCCATGAGCTGATCTCAACAGAGCTAATGCCAACAGGCTTGAACCAACCTGCTTGAGCCCAGCAAGCTTGAGCCAAAATGGTTACGGCACCGAACAGCGAGGGTCGAGCACTGGAAAGACGCGTGGCCACTGAAGCTGTCTGACTCCTCCGCATGCGTTTCCTCATTCTTTCAGGAGGGGGCCTTGTCTGGAATCCAAAGGCCTGAATATGGAAGAAGTCTCAGGCGGGAGCCTTGTCTGTGAGCGCGTCCTCCTCCGTGTCCTCCTCCTCCTCCTCCTCTTCCTCCTCCTCCTATTTCTCTTCCTCCAGCCCCGATTTTTCCAATTAGATTTCTATTGCAACCCCTTTTGGAAAAATTGATTTTTCGGCCGTCGCATGAGGTGGTCCATCCCAGGGCATCGCCCCCGCCCCGCACCGAGGCGTTATCTTAGCACCCGGCAGGACCAAAATAAATCCCCGAGCCAGAGTTTTAGTGGATCCGTGTAAATGGTTAACTACGGCACCGAACAGCGAGGGTCGAGCACTGGAAAGACGCGTGGCCACTGAAGCTGTCTGGCTCCTCCGCATGCGTTTCCTTATTCTTTTAGGAGGGAGCCTTGTCTGGAATCCTGAGGCCTGAATATGGAGGAAGTCTCAGGCGGGAGCCTTGTCTGTGAGCGCGTCCTCCTCCGTGTCCTCCTCCTCCTCCTCTTCCTCCTCCTCCTCCTCCTCCTCCTCCTCTTCCTCCAGCCCCGATTTTTCCAATGAGATTTGTATTGCAACCCCTTTTGGAAAAATTGATTTTTTCGGCCGTCGTAGGAGGGGTGGTCCATCCCAGGGCATCGCCCCCGCCCCGCACCGAGGCGTTATCTTAGCACCCGGACGGGCCCAAAATAAATCCCCGAGCCAGAGTATGAGTGGATCAGTGTGAAATTTGAGAAAAGCTCAGGAAAAGCAAAGACAAGCAAAAGAAAAGCTCAGAAAAAGCTAAGGAAAAGCTGAGAAAAGCTAAGGAGCAGCTAAGGAAAAAACAAAGAAAAGCTAAGAAAAGCTCATAAAAGCAAAAGAAAAGGTAAGGAAAAGCTGGTAAAAGCTAAAGAAAAGCTGAGAAAAGCTAAGGAAAAGCTGAGAAAAGCTAAGGAACATCTAAGGAAAAGCT